TTAAACACTGGAATAAATTGCCTAGGGAGGTTGTGAAATCTCCATCTCTAGAGATATTTAAGAGTAGGTTAGATAAATGTCTATCAGGGATGGTCTAGACAGTATTTGGTCCTGCCATGAGGGGAGGGGACTGGACTCGATGACCTCTCGAGGTTCCTTCCAGTCCTAGAATCTATGAATCTATGAATCAACCAGAGTATATCTACAATCGAAGCAATACAAATTAAATCTATGGGGACTGATGTTTTGACTACACTTCATTCAGAAAATCTGTGGCCCAAATTCTGCTCCCAAACATGAACATGCAACTCCTGTTTGAATTCAGAACTATAAAGCCTGATCTTGCCGCCATTATTAAGGACTTAATCATGTAGAGTGATTTGCATGGAAGCATATATTGAAGGGTATTCTGCTCTGCTCTATTTGATAGTGTGAAATATCTTCTCTTTATTTATAACAAATCAAAGTAGTCCTTAAAATTGTAAATTGTCCCCTGCTCAAAATCTGGATTAATTTTCTGAATCTTTGGAGGACAAAAGTAATTCAAAGATCTTTGTAACTGAATATTTAATTGTAGGTATAAAATTTTGTGCTATTTACAAAAGAATCTTTATCTAATTGCCAAAATATTCATTAATTTTATCTTGTGGACACTGAAATCCAGTGGTCAATTACACTCCTTTTGGATGTAGGCATCTATGCTAGTGGATTTGAATCCAGGATATTTAGGATATGTGAACAGGACCTAAGCAGGGGTTGTAAAATTTCTGTAGATTTTGTAGAAAGAGTAAAGAGAAAATAAAACATATTTTAAATTCAATAATCACAATATATTTCACTGTACTAGACCTTTACAATCTTTTATTTTTGTGTTATGGCTTTTAAAATAGTCTCCACACCTCCCAGCTCAGAATCACAAAGAGCAAACTGCAGCCAAACTCTTGTGTGTAGTCCCTTTGCCTTGGGACTACGCATTTGAATAAGGGCTGCAGTATCAAGTTTTGGTTGCAGAATCAGGCCCTTAGCTTCACAACAGCATTTCCATCTGCATTTTACAGACTGGAAAACTGAAGTCTAGGGATTTGTGACTTTCCCAAAGTCACACAAGTCTGTGGCAGACCTGAGCACAAAAATTAAATGTCCTGGCTCAGTCCTATATTTGAGCCACAAGACTATTACTCTTTGTGATTCTGAGCTGGGAAGAGTACAGATTGTTTTAAAAGTCATGTCACAAAGAGAAAATAAAAAAATATGAACCATGCTACTCTGCAACATGACTTCAAGTGTGACTTATTTGTTGTCTTGTGCAGTTATTTTGATGTTGGGTGAAACCAGGAAGTACTGTTGGAAATTTTGTGAGGAAAAATCCAATATAATGAAATTTCCAGTTGATTTTAAGACCAAGTTCAGATAAGTTCCAGATAAACAATTTTTTTTGGATGTTTATCCACTCAATATTAAACAGTTGAACCCTTTGAGATTCACTCTTCACAAATCACCAACTCCTCGTCTTGACTTCAAAAATAGATCTACTAGAAAAAGAGAGAACTTTAAATACATTTAAATGAGATGCATTAAAATAAGATTCTGCTCTCCCTACCTTCTATGTATGTACTTGTAATCATTTTCTTATTCTATATCCTTTTATCCTCTGGTTTACATGTCTAAGGCTACACTGGAAGGCTGTCATGAGCACACTCAGAGGGCCCAAGAAAAGTACAGTTTAGCATATTCAAGTGAGAATTAGTGGCAAGGCTCAATGTCACCATTTTATCACAGACAGATGATATTACAGTGCAAGAACATACTGGCTTTTAAATGATGGGCTTAAAAAGGCAAACTAAATACCAGTCATCTGCTGGGCTTTGCAACATCAGTGCCATAAATAGGCGCATTCTCTTGGTTGGTTGGTTGGTCTTAAATTTATGATAAAGTATATAAAATTAATGACATATGCTTACACTTATGTGTTAAAAGCCAGTTCCCTGCTGGTGTGTTAATGCCATGCACAGTACTTCATAGCCACTGCTCCACAAACAGAACCCACACACCCTTTCATTCATGCAATCAAACCAGACAATTTTATTTGTGGAACAGTTTATTATACAAATAAAATAAAATAACCTTTTTTATATTATTACCAGACTTGGAAGAGATTAGTGTGATTATGTAAAAACCCTGACTGTGTTGGTGTCTGTCCTGTCTTGCAGTATATTCTGTGCTTACTGAGTGGGAGGGTCACACTGTGTGAGACTAATAAGGACAGAGCTGCATCCCACTCTTTGGAGACTCGCTCCAGCAACTCCTCAGCACTACAGCAGCTTTGTACAGACATTTACTGTGCTTCTGGAGGACTTAATAAGTAAAAATTAAAGGTAAGCGGCTCATATTTGTAGTCAATGTTTACACATCACACACAAATACTATTGTATGTATGTGTTCAGCTCACTTTATTGCCAATCAAGTTTATTTCTGATTTTGACTGTACCCTATATATAAATACTATACACTGTATGTTTATATACTGTTCCCACGCTGGATAATGTACTATCTGCTCACACTTGTGTAAATAAGTTACTATAATTATGTCGGTGTGTGTATATATTTTGTTTCAGTTAAAACTGCTAATCAAAATACTCCTAGTGCATGTACTATAGTTAACAAAATGATTAAATGCTGTTACAAACTGGCAGAAGGCCAAAATGTGTATATTTGTTAAATACTTGTGGATGTACATATAATATGTCTATACACAAAAGCAAATATCTATTAGTCTGTAACGTTTTTCCTAATTGTGGGAGTCTGCTGGCCTAAATGCAGTAAACTGAAATGGTTTAGTGACAAGGGATATGGTAAAAGAAAGGACAGCCCCTTATTGGGAATTTGCAGGTGCACAGCCCCTAACCTACATGGATCTCAGGGGTTCTTGAGTTTTACTGCATTGAATCACATTGTTCGTGCATTTCACTGCCAGTTATACTTTTATTTGACTAGAGCTCAGACATGCTGTTGGGGCAGAGAGAGAAACTGATCTCCCCGCCCCAGACGCGATCTTCCCCCCATGTCCCCAGACCCCTGCAATTCCTACCTGGAGGCAGCAGGTGCTGCCTCTCCCAGCCCCACCTGCCTTTTATTTTTTGTTAGTTTTCTGGTAAGTTTGACCGAGTTTTGCTGCAGCTTCGCTCCTGGCCCCAGCTGAGCCCGGCTTCTCAGGCGGTGCAATTTCCCAGCGGAAAAGCCAGTTAGGATAAATGCAAAGCAGAGGGGCCCGTTCCCGTAGGACGCTGGGCATCAACCCCAGCGACTGGCGCTGCGCTCTGCTCTGCTGGCGGGGCCCCAGGAAGGGCTCTGCATGGAGAACCGCGGGGGCGGGCGGCCGTCGGCGAGTGCAGCACTCACAGGCCGTGGGCTAGGGGCACCCCACGCACACAGACACGGGGGGCCGCTCACCTCTGTGACAGGGATGTGGCCACGTGGGGTGCCCGGGCGGCGCGTGAACAGCAGCGCGGGGTGCGGTCCTGCGCCCCCAGCTTTGCCGCCTTCTCCGCTGTGCGCTGGCAGCGAGCGCCGCCGACTCCTTGCTGCGAGCCGGGCTCCGGGAATTACGGTTCCCAGATGCTTTGGCGCGTCTCCGCCTGGCTGGCTGCGCTGCAGGACGCGCCCGCCCGCCGCCGCTCCGGGGAGGGAGGAGTTGGGCTGGGGACAAAGGGTTTCGGACTAGAGAGGTTGGGGATGGGGAGCTGGGGTTGTGAGCCGGGGGGTAGCGGTGACTGGGAGCTAACGCTTGGGGCTGGCTGGGGAGTTTGCAAGCACAGCAAGGCAAAGACGGCAGGAGAGCAGCTGCTGCGAGGAGTCAAGACCCTACAGGCAGCGCCACTGGTAATGCTGCTGCTTCAGGCAAACTGACCTGCACCGTGTCAGGCCTTGGCCCCTCCCCGGGAGCGAGTGCTCTGGCTTTCCCACACTCCAGCAGCTTGGCAGTGTTCATGTGCAGAGGAATTAAGGATCTGCACATTTCCCCCTTCTGCTGCCCAGTTATCTCAGTGCCTGTCAGTTGGTATCTGTGTATTATACTGTCTGTAAAACAAATCAAAATTAATCAGAGAAACTAAATTTCCAAGGCGGGTTGTGTTACAGGCTGAACCGTCATAAACTCAAGTCAATTCTTGCTATTAAGTTCTGGCGGGTTGATTGTATAAGTGATTGATCATCTTCTGAAGTAATAAACTAGCGATGAATCAACATGCACAGATACAGTAGGCATGGTGAGGGAGATAGCAGCATTAGCAATTGGTAACAGTGTTATTTAATTTGTAAGAGCTTTTCAGGATTTGAGAGCCATAGGCTTTAAGCTCTAGTACATTGAAGTCTCCTTGTAAAGCAGGTGCAGGAACTTACACCATGATGTTCTTTTGACATAAATTCATTTTATGTTACTATCTGTACTGCTGACTGACAGAATAACCATGAAGATGAAAATAGTGCAACACAAAAATAATCATAAAGATGACATTTCCGGAGCAGACACACCAGCTGTATTTTTTCTTCAGTTTATTTTCATATTACAGGACAACATCATGCTTTCTCTAAGAAAAATATGAATAATAATTTATTGTTGCATTTTACTGTGCTTTGTTAAATCCATGCTTTCCCGCTAGTTGTAATTGGTTTAGAAGAAGCCCAGTATTGTGTTCGGAAGAGAAAGATATTTTGTTGGACAAGTTTCATTCTTTTTTAGTAAGATTTAAACTGCAAACTTAGGTCAGGCTGCCCTAGACACTTGCATATTTTGCAAAGAAGAATATGGGCAAATATATGACCATTTTGTTTTTAAATAAAAGATAATATAAAGCAATGATAAGTTTTCCTCATTTGATTTGATGACTACTTCAGCAGTCTTTCTGCAGCACTGTGCCACCAAACAGTTAAACTAAAATATCTAAGACTAAAAAGCTAGAAGGGAGAAAAAGAAACTAGTCATTCTAATGAATGATAATTTAGTGGCTTTTTAAATAATATCTGAGTTAGTATTGCTGTAAATGAATTGCTCATGAAACTAAAAAAAGTAGCAAGAAATACATTTATCACCCAATTCTAAATTCAGATTAGTCTGTAAACTTTTTCAGAGCTTTAACGCAGCTAAATGATATACATGTGTACAACCAATGTCCTTCTCTTTTCTTTACAAATAAATTCTTCCTTGTGGTTTTTTTGGGGGGGAGGGGGGCTGGGAAAGGGAGAATAAGAAGATATTGTTCCCATTGTGAGTATTTTTTGTTTCAGATCTGTGGTCATTTTTTCACATGTGTCCAAGAGGAGATGAAGCACATTGGATTCTGCATAATTTGGCTTTGGATGGCAATTCTCTTCCTCCTTCCTGTTTCAACTTATATGGCAGCCACTGACAAGACAGGTACTTCTCTCTTTTTTTGTAGCCAAACAGACAAAAGGCTGAGGACACAGCTCAACAAATAAATAATGATGCTTAGAAAGTAAATGGACCATGTAAGTATATGAAGTTACGGAAGCTCAATCAGTTTTGACATCTCTTTGAAGAAGTCCATATCGGATGTATCTAAAGGCAGTGTTTCTGTTTCCTGTACACAAAGAGAAATATATTTTTGGAAGCAGTTTAGCCACTTGCAATGTGGTCCCCTGATATTTTCTGTTTTTAATATTACATATCCAAAAAAAGTCCAGTCCTGGTCTTGAAAAATCTAGAACTCTATTAATACAATTTTGATTAATTGATTCTGTGTTTTAATCCAAGGAAAGCATTTATTAAGAGCCCCAAAGGCATGCCAAGCACCTCAGAGAGGTAGAATAAGGCAGTCCCTTGCCCCTAAATAAACAGAGGAGAGGGGAAAGAGATATAAAATTCTAGCAAAATGATCACAGTAAAGTTTGGTGCATTACTTTTGATTTCCCCCTTCCCCCCCCTTCTCAGCTCCCTCTTGCCATCTGTCTCTTACTAGCTCTCTTCTCTAAAACAACGTCCTTCTCCCCATCTCTTGTCCCATTTCTTCTTTTGTATTCTGTCACTATAATCCACCATCTCTGAGAAATAAATCATGTGTTCACTTGTAAATGTGACCAACTGGTATGATATTGCATCAAATAATGACTTGTCAGTTTCCTGGGGTTGGCCATAGACACTGCCCATATCTCAGTTCCCTTCAGTGTGCCTAACATCGCTAACAAAAAAGGTTTTTCATTTGTTTTTTTTTAAAGAAAGATAGACAATTAGGACCTGATTTTCAGAGATGCCTACCCTCCAGAAAACCAGTTGAAGGCAATAGCAGTTTTGGGTGCTCACCGCTCCTGAAAATCAGGCCCAACGTGTTTAAGATTAGTGCCTTGCACAATGGGACGCCAATCCTGATTAAGGCCTTTAAATGCTACTGGAGTACAAATAATAAATAGTAGTGTTAATTATGATTGGGCAGTGTACAATAGTACATTGTGGAGAATCTGAGTTTGGGTTCTAAACTCTCTTTTGAACTTTTAGAACAGCAAAAGCTAAGAGCTCTGTATGTGTATTATTCTCAAACCCTGGGAGGTGGGAGAGTAAACTGCTTCTAATAACCCTGCAATAATCCCCTCTTGCCATTTGAAGGAGTGTAGTTGGTGGGCACATCCAGCTACCTCATTTGGAGGGTTGAGGAAGGAACATTTAAAAGGGCTGCAGGAGACGCTCAAATGATCAACATGAACATATGCTCAACTTAATTAAATACATTTGAAAACAAAATGGAGTGCAACTCCCTCTTGTCAGGTAAAAGGCTTTTCAGTTAAATGTAAGCCAGTCATAGAAGACCATTTAGGCCATGAGAGATGGCTGGGACACATGAAAGGAGAGACAAATATCCAAACTCTTTAAGCTTTTTCTTCTTTCATTTAATCCAAGTGACTCCCTTATTTTCTCCTCAAGGTCAGTTCATCCTGGATGGTCCTCTTGCTTTTGCTTCTTCCTCTCAAGATTCTTGCATGGTAGCCCTTGCAGTGACACTTCTTTATGGCTGTCCTGTTTCACCATTTGTACTTGTGCCATTTGCCCCTACCCACCTCACTATGCTGTACCAACAGAGTTTGCTTCTGTACAAGTACAATACTATGTTGCCTCAGGACCATGACAACCCCTATAGTATAGTCTAATTGTGCTACAGTTTTTTCGGAAAGTTTTGAAATGCAGGGAGAGTTCCCACTTAAGTTTAATTATAAAGAAATACAGGAAATCAATCATGTAAAAGAAAGGGTAAAGTTACATGTGTGGATTAATATGATAAGGAGAGAGATTTGTTTTCCATTTAGTATTCTGAACTTGCCTTGGAAGTGATTTCATTTCATTAGTTAATATTGTTGTAATTAAAGAAATGGCAGTGCTGAAAAGAGAAAATGTTAGAGTGTGACAGATTACTCTGGACCTGCTTCGAGCAGGCTTCCTTAGGCCCTGTTGAGTGTGCTGACATGTGTTTGATTCACAGCAATGATCCCTTTCAGTTTTTGTTTGTGCAGAACTTCTGGTGTACTAACCATTTACTGGAGGGAAGTGATTACTTCTAAAAATAAAATATAATAAATCTAAGGGAGCGGATAGGGTTACCACACTGAAGTTCATGAAGTTCTCCACAGCCATGTGTTAAACCTAACTTTTCCTCGGTATATTTTTCTCCTAATTGTTTTGTTTACATGGTTGATTTAACTAGTTTTTGATTATTGGAAGCATGTGTTTTCACAATATGGAACTGAGCTCTAGAAAGTTCTAATGTGATCATTTCTAAGTTCTGCTTGAATGTTAATAGTTCTGTCTCATTCTGATTGTCTTGTCCAACTTTTTGCTATGAGTTCCCTTTTTGTAACTTGGGCTGCTAAGCTTTGTTGTCTGACCTGTGACAAATATGGCATATGAAAGGTTCTGGGCCTGCCAACAATATTGGAAAAGACCTGCTGGATTTCCACTGCCTTTGACATGAAGTATGTTTTGAAAAATGTTGACTCTAAATCAAAATATGACTCAAACTCCACTAATAATTTCAGGGGCACACTCCAATGCAGTTTTTAAAGTCTGATATGAAAAATACCTCATTATAGAACACAATATATTAATATTAGATAAAAAGATATTAATACTGTAGTGAATTGATTCATACATTAAGCTTTCTGAATGTATAAACTGCCAGACTTGAACTCTTAGGCTGTGTGTATATTGGAGCATTAGGGGTGTATTCCCCAGCTTGCATACACATATTAGCATGAGTATAAATAGTAGTGTAGCCACGGAAGCATGGGCAATGGCAGCGATGGCATGGTTTAGCCATGCCGAGTACAAACCCACCTGAAACTGGTGGGTACATACTCATCACAGCTAAGCCATGCCACTGCCTGTGCTGTCATGGCTGTGCTACTGTTTGTACTCATGCTAGCTCTCATTAAGCTACTGCTAGTACATGTATGCAAGATGGGGAATCACACCCATAACTTGCAGTGTAGGTGTAGCCTTATAAATTACTGGGAGTTGAAGTTTGTACTGCATGTCATTAGAAAGTTAATCTTAGACTTGTGTTAAAGCTTCAGGTTTTATCTATGATTCACATGTGAGAATATATACATGTAGTATATAGACTTTTTGTAGAGTGGAAAGAATTTTATTGATTTACAAGACTAAACTCAATTAGTAGAACTCATGAATTTCTATAATTTAAGTTCTATACCCATTCGGTGGATGGATAGCCTTATGAATTGTATGTACATTACATTTTCAGTGTTCTTTTCAGGTAGCTTTGCCATTACCATTTACTTTTAATGGAAATCATGGAGTTAAAACTAGACACAAAGCAATGCTCCACTCGGCTACTTTTACTCTGGTGTGATGTAACTGAGTAGTGAATCAGGCATAGTTTTTATGTCCTTGCTGACTGTTAAGAATTCTCTTGTTTTCCTGATCATTGTCTTTTATGTAGTCCCCTTGTCTAATTTAGTTTTCTAAACTGTCTAGTTTGACCCATGACAGAAGTGGTGTCTATACAAGTGTCAGGGTTGTCAGCAATAGTTAAAAATCATGCTGGACCTTTCTTCCTCACTATAAAACATAGCTGTAAAACAGACATTGTATCAGTCTATAAAACTGAGGGCTGTCAGCTCCTTGTATGAAAAAGAATATATAGGGGAAGCTGTTGCTCTTAACATTCTAATTTCTTGGCTCAGCTGTCTAGGAAAATGTACCATTGAGGTGATGGGGTCATTTTTAGCACAAACTAGAAGAAGAATTACACTAGTTCTTTCAGTTTTTGTGGGTATACAGAATACAACTAGCAAAGTAGCATTTATGTGGCCTTAGTATGCTGTGTTTCCTGCCATGGCTGTTATGCCTTTGATAAAAATACACCCACAGTGCGTTACATGGTCTTAGGCATCTCAGGAACAACTTCAGTCAGCAGGATAGCAGAGAAATTAGGGCTTGATTCTTCACTTGGACTTAGTGGAGCGGGGCCAGAAGGAGCCAGGTGCAACTCCCTGATCCTCCACCCAAGTGTAAGTTAAAGCTGCTGGACAGGAGTTATGCTGCTGTTAATTCAGAGTAACTCCCTTCACTGCCACAGAGTTGTTATAGATGTATATTGGTGTAAATGAGAGCAGAATCAGGCCTGTACCTTTTCCAGCTGTCGGTTCAGGGATAAAAATTATCTAATGTGAACATGCCTCTCTGCTCTAGAGTGTATATTTCCACCAGAGTATTAGAAGTACAATAAGTACATGATAACAGAGAACTCACTGCACAATAAATACAACTGAGAATGAGCTTGTATTGCCAACTAGGAGTCTGATGAAAGATTACATATAAACTACTGAGATGGCAACACAAAGACTCTTACAATTCTGCATATTCTCCTGGGCAAAATTGCCTCTAATGTGAATTATTCTTCTTGTTCTTTTGTAGGAACAAGAACAGTTCCTACTACATATCTATTAATTGATATATTTGAAACTAATCTGCCCATAAATGACCTTGCTTTCTAATTGTGGGCTGCAGTTTAGACAAATGAAACAAGGTGTTTGACAGAATCTGATGCATATTACTGCCTTCACCCAATCTGTTTTTAATGAAACCAATGTCATCTTTATTTCAGAAATGTTTAATCATTTTGTGAGGTAATAATTTTTTTATCTAAATTATATCTTCCAGCTATAAATTTACTGGTTACTTCAAATTAACCACTTAAGCTAATTGTAAAGATGTGATACTGTTATATATTGAGTTGAATTCAAGATTTTTGGAGAAGAATGTATTTTCTGTATTATTACAGAGTCAGTGTTGAATTGCAGGCATTTTACAATTACAAGTGTAACCATTTTCCGGGTCAATTTCAGTCTCTAACATATTTGGAAATCCTTTAAATATAGACTATTTCTAGGATAGTGCTAGTTCATTCCTCCTTTCTTATCACTGAACCGACACGTTGGAAAGTCCCTTGTCCTCCATTGCTGAAACTTCAGGCTTATTTTGGCAATCTTTTCTGGGCACTTCTTCAACTCAAGACAGGATTCCATGCCTACAGAGTATCTGGACCAAATCCTGCTTTCCTTCCCTCCAGTAGTCCCAATAGACTTCAGTGGGACCATTTTCATGAGTTTTGTAAAAAGATAGAGCCCCGTTTTAACATGCACAAAATTTACATTAGTCTTTATCCACTTCTTGAAAAAGTGTGTGTGTGTGTCTTTACTGAACCATAACGCTGCTGTAACATGATGAAATGTTGGGTTAAGATTCACTGATATTAGATTTTAAGGTTTTGGAAATGTAGGAGCCCATATATAGGTCTTCAAATACTACTTATTAGAGACAAGCTAGTAAAAAGGGTTATTACAGTACTTAAAACTTAAACTTTTAATATACTTCCTTAAATTGTTAAACTAATGTACCCTATTTTATTGTGATCTTGGCTGTTAAATGTAACCAGTCTGTTAGACTTAGCCTCTGCATGTGTACTATATTACAAATATTAGAATACTGTGCTTGTTTACTAGAAACAAATACATCAATGCATAGTTAAAACAATCTCTAATGCAAAGCTGCTTAATTTGTAACAGTCTTTTAAAGAGATAAGCAACGAGATATTCATTGTTTATATAATATGACAATAACCTTATTAATCACATTTTGAGATTATTTTCTACACTGCAAATAATATTTAACTGTTGCTAGGGTAATCCATCATATACTTATAACTTTTATTGTTGTATTTTCATAATAGCGTCTGCTGTAAAATTTTCTTTTTTTCAAAGTTTACTGTACACATCAACTCCCCTCACTCCTGCCAAGCATATGGTATCATGTTTTATGGTATTCTTGATTGGGGGGGGAAAAAGTTGTAAGAATGTAATATTATTTCCCTTAGTTGTTGAATAGTTAATATGTGCGTGTTTTAATCACAAACAATTGAATTAAAACATGATTACATCTTATCTGTTTATAATTATAGTATTAAGAGAATACTTTGTACACTAAAATGTAATTACTGTTGTTTTAATATAGTAGTTTGGTTTATTTCATAATCCTAAATATAAAGAAACAAGAAGGAATATTAGTAGTAATCTAATTACATTGAAAATTGAACTTTGTTCATGTTGCCTTGCAATTCACTGGCATGATAATAAATAGTTTTATGTCTGATGTATTTTTTTATTTGATAATGTTTGATGGGAGCTGTTATATTTTATTGTTTTGTAGTTACAATGTGTCCTATAATGAGACCAGATGGACATCAGCTTAGACATATCTACAAAGAAAATCTTGATGTTTCAGGTAAGTGATTTCTTTAACACAAAAGATTTAAAATTTAAAATTTACAAACCTTGTGTGAAATCCTGGCCCCACTGAAGCTGGCTTTAACTATAGAGAGACAATAAAATATTTTAAATTAAAGCTGTCTTTAATATTAGAAAAAATGTTTTATTAAAATTAGAATAAATTTATGTAATTTTCTGGCTTAAGTTCTATACATGTAAGTTTTTTTTTTTAATTTTTGCTTGTAAAATTAGTTTGGATTTAACATTTGCTTCTCAGACTTACTGTAGATCTGCAGCATAGTTATTCTCATTAGTTCAGATGGTAAAAGAAAACAGCCAATGCATTCCTCAGAGGTTGAAAAGTCAAGAGCTGAGGGAATTTCACACTCATATCCCTTCCTATGAGAAAATGCAAACTGGAAATTTCTGTGACCCAAAGCATTGGGATTTGAAATAGCCTGTCAGTCTATAGACTAGAAAAGCACCAAGCATGCTAAAAATCAATACTTTCCCCAGGTTTTAAAATTGCATTAAACAAAGAATAGACTAAATTAGTATATCACATTTCACAGGTTTTGATCTAGCAGAAAGCTTTTCTCTGAGACAGGCATCTTGTGGAGGTGAAAAAACCTGTTTTAAACTGGGAAGCACACCTCTTATCAGAGACACTCGGTAAGTAAAACAATACTTTATCCCTAAATATCTTTAACAGGATCCAAGCTAAATACTAGGTACAGACTGATATATTAAGCAGTGTATTCAGATAATGCCACATAAAGATCTATATTAGGGCTGTCAGTTAATTGCAGTTAACTCACGCGATTAACCAAAAAATAATTAATTGTGATTTATAAAATTAATTGTGATTAATCACAGTTTTAATCACATTGTTAAACAATAGAATACCAATTGAAATATATTAAATATTTTTGGATGTTTTTCTACATTTTTAAATATATTGATTCCAATTGCAACACAGAATTCAAAGTGTACACTGCTCACTTTATATTATTATTTTTATTACAAGTATTTGCACTGTAAAAATGATAAACAAAATAAATAGTATTTTTCAATTCACCTCATACAAATACCGTAGTGCAATTTCTTTATCATAAAAGTGCAACTTACAAATGCAGATTTTTTGGTTGTTACATAACTGCACTCAAAAACCAAACAATGCAAAACTTTAGAGCCTACAAGTCCACTCGATCCTACTTCTCGTTCAGCCAATCGCTAAGACAAGCAAGTTTATTTATAGTTATGGGAGATAATGCTTCCCACTTCTTATTTACAATGTCACCAGAAAGTGAGAACAGGCATTCGCATAGGACTTTTGTAGCCGTCATTGTAAGGTATTTACGTGCCAGATATGCTAAACATTCATATGCCCCTTCATGCTTCAGCAACCATTCCAGAGGACATCCTTCCATGCTGGTTTAAAAAAAAATGCATTATCTCCAGCTCTATTTTGCCTGAATTCTGCCATATATTTTATGTTCTAGTAGTTTCGGATGATGACTCAGCACATGTTGTTCATTTTAAGAAAACTTTCACTGCAGATTTGACAAAACACAAAGATGGTACTGATGTGGATTTCTAAAGATAGCTATAGCACTTGACCCAAGGTTTAAGAATCTGCAGTGCCTTCCAAAATCTGAGAAGGATGAGGTGTGATGCATGCTTTCAGACGTCTTAAAAGAGCAACACTCAGATGTGGAAACAACAGTACCTGTAGCACCAAAAAAGAAAAGCAACCTTCTGCTGGTGGCATCTAACTCAGATGATGAAAATGAACATGTATCTCAGTCCGCACTGCTTTTGATTGTTATCGAGCAGAACCCGTTGTCAGCATAGACCCATGTCCTCTGGAATGATGGTTGAAGCGTGAAGGGACATAGGAATCTTTAGTGCATCTGGCATGTAAATATATTGTGATGCCAGCTACAATAGTGCCATGAGAATGCCTGTTCTCATTTTCTGGTGACGTTGTGAACAAGGAGCGGGCAGCATTATCTCCTGTAACCGTAAACAAACTTGTTTGAACGATTGGCTGAACAGAAATAGGACTGATTGGACTTGTAGACTCTAAAGTTTTACATTGTTTTATTTCTGAATGCAGGTTTTTTGTAAATAATTCTACATTTGTAAGTTCAACTTTCATGATAAAGAGACTGCAATACAGTACTTATATTAGGTGAACTGAAAACAACTATTTCTTTTGTTTTTTTTACAGTGCAAATATTTGTTATAAAAAAATAAAGTGAGCACTGTACACTTTGTATTCTATGTTATAATTGAAATAAATATATTTGAAAATGTAGAAAACATCCAAAAATATTTAAATGGTACTCTATTATTATTTAACTGTGCGATTAATTGCTTGACAGCCCTATGTTAGTCTTTAGGTGTTTTCATTTGTAACAATCTTTCCATCCAGAAACCATAGTTATTCAAGTTTTACCTCATCTGGAGTGCAGAGATACACAGATGAAAATTTAACTGAATGTATGCTACTCCTTAGTATGCCATAGTGCTGGTATTGAAGTTATTTCTCTTTGTGTGTATGAGGAAGTTTCATTATTATCACCCTGATCCAGTGCTCACTGAAATTAATGGGAGTCTTTCCACTGACTTCCGTGGATGTTGGGTCTGGCCCTATATGGATTAAAATTAGTCTGAGTTGCAAGTAAAATACTGATTCTGCAGTCTTTCCTCAGACAAAATTCTCCTTGAATTCATACCTGTTTCTTTTCTCATTTTTCTTAGAGTTTATCCTCCTTCCTTCTGCTTTTTTTTAAAATGTTCTTTTTGGACTCTTCTTGGTCTGACTCTTTCTTCACGCTTCTTTTTTTTTTCTTTTCTGTCTATACTTTCCAGGGGTGGAATTTATTTGTATGTGATTTTCTTAACTACCTCCAGTTTCTTCTTCTACTGGATTCATTTCCTGCTTCTTGTACTCTATTCGTATCATAGTACATGCTTCAAAGAGTGAATAATAGATTTTTCACTTTCCTGGCAATTCCAAACAATAAGAAACCCTTTCATTTCTGGTTGAACAGAACACATTTTTTGGCAAATCAAAAAGTTGAAAATATTAGGAGCGGAGTTGAAAAGAAAAGTTTCATTTTGATCTAACCTGAAATTTTTCATTTAGATTTTAGGCACTCTTACAAAAAGGACTAGGTTGATAAAATGTCAGGTGGGAGTAGAGGAGCAGATATGTAACCTTTAGCCAAGTGAATAAGAGACATTTTCTGGGGTGTAGGAGACCCAGGTTCAATTCCCCCTCTGCCTGATGAGGAGAAACGATTTGAACTTGGTTCTACCACATTGTAGGAGAGTGTCCTAACCACTGGGCTATGGTATATTCTGGTGTCTCTCTTCTGTTGAAGCTGTTGCACTGTGAATAATTAGTTAAATAATATCTGGACATGGACTTGGGTCTCCTAGATCCTAGGTGAATTGTAATTCTTGCTCTTTGTGGCTTGATGATGACTATTCACTGTCCTTCACGGTGGCAATTCATAGTCATTCATAATGAGGATGAATAGTCATTAGGCCAACTAGAGAGAGAGAGAGAGAGAGAGTGAGTGAGAATGAGTCTATAGCTTCCTCCCCCTCTGCCCCTCCACCACCTGGCATTTTGCTTTTGTAAAAATGCCCAAAATTAAAATAAGTTTCAGATCAGGCTCAAACAAAACATTTTTGTTTCAATATTAATGAAACACTTAGTTTTTTTTGTTCTGTCTTCATTATTCAGCTAACTTGACACAAATTTATGAATAGTTTCAGGTTGGCAGAAACCACATTTTTCGGCAAATAAACTATTTGCCCCCCCAAAAAGTCATCCAGCTCATTTTATGTACTAATTATTCTGAACACCAGCAGAATAACATCCTTCTTGGCTATCCTATAGAATTCTATAGCAGAGATATGATCATCACATTCTATAGGTTGATTTTAAACAAACCTGCAGAATTACGTTCTATTCAGTTCTGTAGGGCCTTTCCATAAGGATGATGATAGTGTTAGTGGATTTCAGCTGAAGTTCTTCTCCCACTCCCAAGGTGCCTGACCAGTGCTCTCCATGCTACTTCTGTCCCCAGCTGCACTTTACGCCTTCCTTACAGCTCGCTCTGCTGCATTGAGTGAGGGCGCAGCCAGATCCAGGAGCAGTGAAAATGAGGGAAGCAGGATGATAGCTACTGGTTGATGGTCAGCAGTTGTAAACAGTAGGTGCTAGTATCTGGAGGGCAAAGTTGCAGGAAGAATCTAGCAGTGTTATTTTTCTTCCTTGCCTCCTTTCAGTTCCCTGGTCAGGGAACAGCTCATTTCAGCCTCTGGGACAAAGATGGGGAAGCCTAGCTGTGTTTATTCCCCCTCCCCCACCTTCTCTGCCTTCAACCCTGTTTTAGGCCATGGATAGTGAACTCAAGTGAAGGGTGAGCCCAGATGTGAGAGAGAATGGCTATGCAGGCCTGTACTGTTTTTAGCTTTACACATTTAAAAAGAAATGTAGGCTTTTCTGTCCAATCCACCTGTCCATTGTATCCACTACAATAGATGTGCAATTTAGCTGGATGTGACTGCTGGAATTATTAGCAGTGAAATACTTAACAATGTTGACATTTTAATATAATTAGGCTGGACAATTATTAAGTTTTTTATATTAATAGGGACAGGTCAAGACTTTCAGAGAATTTGTTTTTAAACCTGTCTGTCTGCATGGTGAGGAAGGATCATAGGTTCACATTCAGAAATATATCACCCTAATCAGAAAAAAGCTTGAAACTCTTTTAAAATGAAAATTTAAACTTTGCAGAATTTCAGACTGATGTGGGGGAATATCAGGTGGGCTCCTCCTGGTATGCGGGCTGGGAGTTTGAAGTCTATGGTTTAATGTAAATTATTATTCTCAGGGGAATCAACTTTTCTGTTGATTATTACCTCCATTTTGTAGCAAAATGCAAAACACTTAACACAATTTACTTTTTCTACAGTTTGTTAAATGTATAATATTTCTCAGGTTTTCTGCTAAAACAGTTTCTGTTTGAAGCCTTTCAGTACTTTCAAATATTTCTTCTAAACACTTGAGCTGCTTTTCAAAAGAGAAATTTCATAAATTAATTTGAAAGGATGCCTGATAGTAAGGAGAGTAAAGTCACTATAATTTGATATGGTGGAATTATAAAGAAAGCTGGTCAGGAACTCAGATACCTGCCACCAGAAATACTTTATCTCATTGCCCAGCCACAGTATCTCTAATACATTCTTTTCATTAAATCGCCTTCTTTTACATTGTGTCACATTATGTAGTTCCAGACATCTCAGTTTAATCAGATGCAACATGACTTACATATTCATCCCATCTGATAGGATATGTAAATAGATCTGGTATGCTGTGAGCAGCAGAACACTGGTACCCATACTACAGGAAACTAGAAGGTATCTGATTAAGCTGACTAGCAGATGTCAAGATCTCCACTTACATTTGACTCATTCAGCTACAGTGTAGTTAATAAGCTATGCTTTGCCACTGTTCTTGCGTGATGCCATTTGGGTTTTTTCAATGGCTGGAATAATGCTGCAGCTATTTTTATGTTTGTAAATAAGTTGCTGTCAGGGGGTTTACTGTTCCACACTAGGGCGCCTCCTTGTGGCTCATCTGGGGA